TGGTGGAGAGGGGATTTTTGTGCAGCTGAAGGCAGGTCTCCGCTTCAGTCTGTTTCCTGGGAACAGCTGAGGGGCCTGCAGCCCTAGCTGGGGGTGGATGGGGAGAGATCCTTAGACCCGTAGCTGGAGCGAGATCTGCAAAGGCAGGCCTGTCTTTGGGGTTGGGACCTTTATGGTCTATCCATGTCTGTTTGCGGGCAGGCTTCCTTTTTCTGTTGTAAAGGCGTGGCGCGAGTATTTTCTGGTGAACGTAATTGACAGAGCTGAGTAAATCTTGGTTGTAACTTTAGTGAGACCCGTTTGTCCTCACTTGCGCTTATGAGAGTTATAGTATCGTGTGCCTTCAAACGGGACTGTGCGCAGGTGGGGTGTTTGCCATGCACTGCTGGTGGTGTCTGTTGTTTTCCCCCATTCATTAGTGGACTCAGCAGCACATCTGTATGGAAACAGATGTTTATCCAAGGTTTCAAAGGTAACCACGTAGGGTACTTCTCTGCTGTAAGCAAGGCTAGCTCACAGTTCCCATATTATAAAATCCAGCATTGCTTGAACTCCCTTTCCTGCCCTCCCTAACTCCCCAGGGTTAACCCAGGAGGCCTACGGCTGAGTATGAAAGAGCGGTTTGAATGCTGCAAGCAGGTCACCTTTCTGCAGCAGGGCCAGAGGGGCCTAGCTGCGTATGGAGTGGTGATGGGGCCAGTGACTGGCTCACAGGCTATGAAAGGCTTTGATCTGAGGGTGGGGATGAGTATGTGACAGGACTCCTTGGGAGGAAGTTTCTGAGGGGAATCAGTGGGAGGGAGGCCCATAGGTAGGGATCAGGCCACTCCTGGGCGACAAATAGGCAGCACTGAGTAGCTGAAAGGTTCCTGAAGACTGGTAACTAGAGCCCAGAGGGAGGTGATGCAAAGGGTAGATTCCAGGAGCCAGAGCTGGGGTTGGAAAGTGGTTCAGGGGCAAAGCTGTGCCCTAGCTAGGAAGAAGAAAATAAATACATTAGGAGCTAGAGAAAGATGAAGGCAAGTGTAGCCCCACTACTTAGTGGAGAACAAGAGCTAATAACGGGTGACACCAGGAAGGCTGAGGTGTTTAATGCCTACGTTGGTTCAGTCTTCACTAAACAGGTTAATAGTGACCGAATGGTTAACACAATATTAACAACAAGGGGGAGGGAACACAGCCATAATGGGCGGGGTGGCGGGTGGGGGAGAGGAAAGGACAGGTTAAAAGATATCTAAATAAGCTAGATGTATTCAAGTTAGCAGGATCTGACGGAATTTGCCCTAGGGTGCTTAAGGAACCAGTTGAAAATCTAGAACCATTAGTGATCCTCTTTAAGAACTCATGGAGGACAGGTGAGGTCCCAGAGAACTAGAGAAGGGCAAACATAATACAATACCTACATTAAAAAGGGGGACAAAGAGGACCTGGGGAATTGTAGACCAGTCAGTCCAACTTTGATACCTGAAAATATACTGGAACAAACTATTAAAGAATGTTTGTAAGCACCTAGAGGATGATAAGGTGATAAATAATAGTTAATATGGATTTCTCAAGAACAAATCATGCAAAACCAACCTAATTTCCTAGAGGATGAGGGGAAGCAGTAGACACAATATATCTTGATATATTTTTTTTTTTAGTAAGACTTTTGAGATGGTCCCACATGACAATCTCATAAACAAACTAGGGAAATGTATCAAGTATCAGAGGGGTAGCCGTGTTAGTCTGAATCTGTAAAAAGCAACAGAGGGTCCTGTGGCACCTTTGA